CCCAAAACCCCAAAACCCCAAAACCCCAAAACCCCAAAACCCCTTAATAAAATATGAATATAGAATGAACGTTTATTGAGCGCAAATGGCTTCTAATAACTACTCTTTTTGGGCTGCTTTCTCAGCTGCAAGCTGAACTGCAAGTCTGGCAGATCCATCAAAATCAGCTTCGAAGTGAATACCAAGCTCACGCTCCTTTCCGGAAATTAAAGCTTTAGCCTCTTCAGATTTATTACCATTGAGTCTCAAGACAATTGGCTTTGAGAATGGGTTCTCCCTATTAGCTTCCATTATGGATTGAACTAAAAGATCGCACCTCAAAATTCCTCCGAATATATTAATGTAAATAACATCTACTGTCTCGTCATTACAGAGAAGGTTGACAGCTGCAATCATCTGTTCTCCATGAGCACCACCTCCAACATCAAGGAAGTTAGCTGCCTTTCCTTTGTGAAGATCCAGGATATCCATGGTAGCCATGGCAAGTCCTGCTCCATTGACTAAACACCCAATGTTTCCACCAATCGGGACATAGTTTAGGTCATATTTCTTAGCAGCAACTTCATTTGGAGTCTCATCAGATTTATCTTCTTGCTCTGCTAGCTCTTTCTGCCTGTATGCAGCATTATCATCAATGGTGATCTTTCAGTCAGCACATAGGACTCCTTTCTTCGAGCAAACAACCATTGGGTTGATCTCTACCATATCAGAGTCAGTGTTATGGAATCAAGTATATAAATTCTGAATTGCTTTAGCAGTTTCATCATGATGATCTTCAAGACTTAAGTTCTTAACAATTCTCTCGATTTGCTCGTCAGTGAATCCGCTGTTCTCATTGATATGCTCCTTGAAGATCAGCTCTGGAGTATCTATGGCGATATCTTCGATTTCCATACCCCCTGCCGGGGAATACACCAAGACTGGAGCAGATGCTTCTCTGTCAAGTGCGAATGCAAGATACAGTTCTTTTTGGATATCTAACAGCTCTACCAAATATACAGAATTGACTTTTAGCCCTTTGTGTCCTGATTGCTTTGTGACAAGAGAGAATCCAAGCATGTGCTTAGCGATAGTCTTCGCATCCTTTGGATTTTTGGCAACATGGACACCACTTTGTAACTCGTTTTCTTTGAAGTGTCCTTTACCTCTTCCTCCACCGAGGATCTACATCATTGTTAATATTTTAGGTATCCAAATGACGAAGCGGTATTACTTGCCAGAACCGTTCTTTACAATTTCGTACTGGCTAGGGTTCCAAAATACTTACCTGAGCTTTCACAACGGCTCCTGTCCCTGTCATTTCGTAGATAGATTGAGCAACAGTCAATGCTTCCTTTGGGGTGGTAGCGAGTTGACCCTAAAAAGATTTGATCGGGATATCTCCTAAACACTTACGTGCGGCACTGGAACATCATACTTTTTCAAAAGCTGGACGGCCTGGTACTCATGCAACTTGATACCTCTGAAAGGTGTGTAAATGAGTCTGCTAGGCCTGAATGACTTCTTGAAGATGTTCTTAGTGATACTACGAAACATGACTAATGATATAAAAATATAATAATTAACTTCATTGTTAATATATAAAAAAGGGGTTTTGGGGTTTTGGGGTTTTGGGGTTTTGGGGTTTTGGGG